GGGGGGGCGGGGGCGAAGGGGCGATCGCGTCCGTCCCCCCACCAATCGCCCCAAATTGCCCCCTAGGGTAGGTTGGCAATTTTTCCTACAAAACCCCTGAGAGAATGCAACTCGCTGCAAATCGGCCCCTCCGTCAGACGGACTTGAAACCGCGCCTGCGGTACACGTGGTTTACGCGCAGCCCCCGAGATGTCCTCCAATATGACGACCCCACCCGCCGGCACCGGCACCTGGCCCCTCACCTCTGGTCACCTCTACTACTCGGCGGCGGCCGCCCGACAGAGGGACAATGCGCGAGCAATAAACACGGCGAAAATAACGACAAACAAACAAAGTGCGACAACTGCTAAAGGGGCTGCGTGTGACCTCGTCCTGCGCAGAGCAAACGCACCCTCAAAAACTAAAATGCAGCCGGATTATAAAAAACGAGTTTCCTAAAAAAAATAAAAAAAAATGATTTTAAAATGAGGTTAATGGGGGATGCGCTACCCTCTCCCCCCTCCGTTTTTTTCGGTGCCAGGTTTATTGCAGAGTAACCAGTGTAAAGGGCCGACCTGGCCGCAGGAGGATGGGCCCCAGTCAACAGGTAATAGCTATGGGAGAACGCAACTCTGTTGCTACGCTGCTACCGCAGCTGCTACCCACCCCTGCTCACCCTCAGAGAAGAGCCTCGCGGCGCGGCGGGGTCGTTCCCTTTTAAATCCATTGCACCGTCGTTCTACCGTGCGCAACGATAAAAGTACAAAGGAAAAAAATGAAGAAAATAATAGAAACGAAAACGGGGGCATCGATCACGAGAATACATAGTGCAGAGTGCAGAACTGGGGCACGGCCCGGTGTGACCCGGGGTCGTCTCTGCTGGCCGAGCGGGGCTGCGCCGCGCCGTGTGTGCATGTGTGTGTGAGTGAGAGAGAAGAGAGAGTCTACTTCAGTCCTTGACCTAAAGGGCTCGGTGGCCCGGTGGTACGCCCTCGGCGCTCGAAGCGTCACAAAAGTGAACTGACGCGGAGAGAGGGGGGAGAGCGACTCCAGGTGCATTTACAGGCCCGTTTTTGCAACACCAGCCTCCCGTCCTCATTTTTTATTATTTATATTTATTATTTCTTCTTCGTCTCGAGGCGCGAGGCGGCTCACGGACAGAAATAGGCATACGTACTTCCCCTCCTTTCTGTACTACAGGTAAGACGTCTCTCTCTCTCTCTCTCTCTCTCTCTCTCTCTCTTGGAAATGGTACCCAGGAGGTTCATATGGGGCGCGGTGCACCAGAGTGACAGACGGGAGAAAGGGTGCCCCCCTCCCCGTCGTCCCCATGTTCCCTCACGGCCCCGCGGGTGCACCGCCACCGCCGCCCGCCTGTTTTGCATCTGTGATGGGCGCGGGTAGATTGGAGCGAGCGGGACGACCAGGACGGCGACGGAGGAAGCGACACCCGTCCACATACGGCTGAATGCGTTATAAATAAGCTCCCCGCCCGCCCAGCACAGAGAGAGCCTGGACTCCAGGAGGAGGGCGCGGCTCGCCTGAATGAACGCTATCGCCTCGCTCGCTCTCCTTCTAACAACACTCTCCATGTGGAGAGTCATAATCCTTGTAGGTGGGCGGAGAGAGTGTGAAGCCCACATCCATACACCTTCCCGGCGGCTGCGGCTGCGACGCGACCAGAGAGTAAGAGGGGAAAGGGGAGGGGGCAAGGCGTCCTCTGACCTGATTCCAATGAGTTATACACAATGAGTGTGCGAGAGCGTCGTGCTCCCTGCTCTCTCCCGATCTCTCCCCTTCTCTCTCTCTCTCTCTCTCTCTCTCTCTCTCTCTCTCTCTCTCTCTCTCTCTCTCGCCGGCCCGGCCCAGCCGCTCTCCCACACGCTACAGCAGAGCACAGCATCCCGGGTCTGGACGGCGTGGCGGCGCGCCGCGTAGCCTTGACCTAGAAACCCAGTGCCGAGTCGGTCAGGGGCCGGCCGGGCGGGCGGGCGAGCCAGGCGCGGCGGGGCGGGGACGGGCGGGTACAGCGAGGGCCCTGTGCCCCGGCCCGCCCGGCGCCCCCCGAGGGGCCGGCCCGAGGTGTGCAACGGGCGTAGAGCACACGACGTTTGCCTAGTTATCGGGGAGTGGATGAGGAAGGTGCTCGACAGGAAGAGGAACGAGAAGAAGAGGGCACTGGTGAGCGGGATAGCGTAGCGGCGGGCGGCGTCCCTTAACACTTGTAAAACAAGATGCTCTAAACATTTTTTGGTGGACATTTTAAGGTTGCGAAAATAGGGAGTAACGAGGTAGATCTATTTCAAATAAAAGATTTTTCCTTGCCCGGACTTTATAATTTTACGTTTAACTTTTCATCTTTTCACTCAAGCGCTGCGTCAACAATTACAACAAATGTGTAAAGTTTTCTCTCGAGGAAATTATACATTTAAAATGGGATTGACTTTGAACGCTTCGACTTTGCCTTTGCCCACGTTAGCCCTGCTTTTGTCTGAACGCATTTTGAAGCAGCCCGTTATTGAAATGAAGCCGCAAGATGACACGGACGGCCGCCCGCACCGGTCGCCCGCTCGCGCGCCGCGCTCACCCCGCCCCGCCGCGCTGCGGAAGTGGACAAGCAGCCGACCCAGACGGTCGGTGGCGTGGCGTGGTGTGGCGTGGCATGGCATGGCGCATTTCCGGGGCCAGTGGAGCAAGCGGCAGACGACGCGAGCTCTGAACCATCCGCCGCCCACCGTGACCTCGGCCGACATGGCACGGCACCTCTGGGACAGGGTCAGGAGGGCGAGGGCGGGGTAGGGGAGGGGAGGTGGTGCCCCCCAAACGGTGGAAAAGCGTCCCTGCAGGTGTAAAATACGGGCGCATATATCCACGGGGTCTGCTCTAAAAAAAAAGAGACGCGATGATAGAACGAGAGCATACATAGACCGCATGTTGTTTGGCTGAGGTCACGGAACGGCCAAATTATTGTGACATATATTCTTTCAACCGGCGTAAAAGGAAATTTTTTTTCCCCCAAAAATGATGATTGTTTATAAAATACCGAAAAGGAGGGCGGGGTCGTGCAGTCGGGGGTGTGTTAGGCAACAAACTTCCTGAGGCCGTCCCGGTCGGTCCCGGTGCCGTCGCCTTGGCGACAATGCTGTGCGCGGCGCGGCCGGCGCGCGGCGAGCCGAGTTGCGCCTTTTTATTTTGCGGCTAAACGAGAGCGCCGCGCGCCGGCCGTCCCGCCCCGCCTTGCACAACAAGCACGCCATTGCCGAGCCCATTGTGTCCATTCCGAAATAACTCACACGAAGAAACCCTTCTTCTTCATCCCTTCTTTTTGTTTCCTCAAATTTTGTTCATTTTCATTTTGTTTCCGTTGGCCGCGCCCTTCGAGCCGATGAGCAGAGCTCGTAATTGTACGGCGTTTGTTGTGTCTTTCAGAAGCTTTCAGCCGTCCAAGGTCGCGGCGCGGCCCGTACGTAGTGACCGTGACTCTGTGTACAGCGGCAGAGAGCGCCCGCCAACGCCTCCCTCCCCGACTGACGCCGCGATTTAAATTTACAGGAACGACTACGTACTCCACATACCAGGCTG